ATCACCATCCCATTTCCCACACCAACTCTGATCATGTGTCACTTTATTATACCTTTTCCTTCTGCATCACACCCTAACTCTAACAAATTACTCTACTCAATGGATTGTACCATGACAAAAAGTCTATTCATTTTTCATAATCAAAGTCAAACAATAAATATTTACTTCCATTATTTTATGCTTTCGTTACGAACACCATAATAATACTATATTTTAGTCAGTCTGTTAGAGTAACTTTCCATCTTAATCTCTTTATATATATATATACACATGTATATTTTACAAGGTGAAATACACTTTTCTGTTGATACTGCATAAATCTCTCTCTCTGTGTGTCTATATATATATATATATATAGATCATTCAATGACAAATATGCTGACTCATTTCAGTGTTGTATGGCATCTGTAACAGTGTTTTTGTGATCTCGGCCTCTTTTAGATACAAGTTCAACGCAGTAGCATTATAGTTTGTTTCCCAACAAAACTTAGACGTGGGGCTCTTAATTAGTGTTTTCATTGTTATTTTAAATTAATTTCAAGCTTAATAACCTAATCTAATGAATCTTTGATACTTATCGCTTAAATCATCAATATTAAAACTTTACTTATAATTAGAAAAAAAGTTAATTAAACAAGGACTTGTATCCAGTTATACGTCTTATCTTATGCTTCCCTCGATTCTTCAAAACACTAACACTGTCTGAAACTTCAGATCCTCGCAGAAGTAATTGTCATGTGTTGAAAAGATAAATCCCATTGCAGAATTAGAAAATAACTGCCTGCATTTTATGTGTATTTTTTACATCATGTCATAATTTGTGTGTTGATCCATGAGGTTATACCTCAACATAGAACATAGGATTTAGATAATCTTTTTCTCTCTCATTTCCATGTGATCCTGAGATAGATTTGTGTGTGATTGTTGGTGGCGACGAAGAGCTTCCATTCTCAAGAATCGGCGAGAGTGTCGATCTTAGGTGGAGAATGGAACAATACGAAGATATGAATAGAGTTTATGCAGACAACTGATATAACAATATCAGATTTAGCAGAATTTGATAGGAGAATTGATACTTTGAAAACTCCAAAAACAAACCATCCATTTCTATTAATATAATGATTATAAAACGATTTCATAAAAATAAAAATAAATTAAAATTATTATTATTATAATATTAAAATTAGATTATTTTTAGAAGTTGTATGTTTTTGGAATTGTGAAAATATCATTTCTGATTTGATAGAGCTGTAATACTCGGACAACTGTTTTTCAACCAAACAACTATTCTACACTTCCGTTTATATAATAGAAATTTTATTTTGACGATTTTAAAAAAACATCCATCATATAACTTTATTTCTATTTATATATCTTAATATAATATTATTATTTATTACTATATTATTTTTTAATTGTAGATGAGATGTATATATATCTCCCTTATAATATAATAATCATTAAAATTTTAATTATTATTACAATAATATTAAAATTAGTTATAGATGAGATGTTTAAAGAAATTCAGAATAGTTTTTTTCAATTTGATATTACTGCATCACCAGATGATTTCTATTGGATCAATGTTAGGGTTATCATATTACCTTAAAGATTTTTTTAATGGTTTATATTGTATTTATGAGTACTTCTTTTATGATTTTGTAAGGATATTATTATATCATCGTATGATTTATTTTCTTTTGACTTATTTTTTAAATAATTTTAATTATATTGATAAATAATTAATACAGTTAAGTTATTTAGTAACTATTAAAATTAAAATTATAATATAATAAAAAATAATAATAATTATAAATACGTGATTCTAAAGTAATATTTTAAAAACTAGTTTTCTTTTTCAACTGAATAATTTTTTTATTGACAAATTCTTTCAGAAAAATACTAGCTAATTATTTATAATTTGAACTCGTGTATGTCATATATATTCTTCAATCAAAACAAAGAAATACTATAATAGGACACTTTAAAACATATTAATTAAACTAACTAATCATACAATAGTAGACAAAGTATAGCATTAAGCCACTAATATTAGGCCGGAAGTATATTGGTATGTGCTCTTTGTTGTCATATTAGAATTTTGCCTAGTTGAAAAAAAGGATATAAAAACTTTGTCAGCTATAGATCGTGACCTTATCTAAGATGATTCTTACTTGAATGGATTTTGATTATGAATGTTTCAAATTTATTTGTCCAAAAAATAAATTAAAAGCATTAATCAATTTCATAGTGAGAAAAACATACAGCTGGTGAAGTTCTGAAAGAAAAAATTGTTTGTTCCCAAAACATATCCATCCTTAAAAGAGTCATGAGAGACAGACGAAACTGACTATAGTTTATAATAAATGAAAAAAAAATTATATGATTTAAAAGTATAGAAACTCAAGCTAAATTGATAAAAAAAATATAGAGAGGGAGAGGGAGAGACCTAGCTAAAACACATTTTATTTTTTGTTTTTAATAATAGAAAGATGTATAAAAAATGGGATTAAAATTATAGCAATATAGTAAATTCTTATACAAAATTCTCAATTTATAAAATATACACACCGACCAGAGAAATGATGGCAGGTTGATAGATAACAAAAATATGAAAGAAGTATTTTATGTTCTCCATTCCCACAACCCACACGCAAAAGTTATATATCATCATCGTATTGGAGTCCTTTTCTCTACCAAGTTTTTTTTTTCTTTCTGAAAGGATCACACCTTTCAAGAAGAAGCTTCTTTTTGTTCGTATATATACATTGAATTGGAAAGCTTGCATACAATTGTTTGTTGTTTTCCTCCAAATAACCCCCATTCCAAGTTTCCAACACTAATTAAGTTGTACATATAATTGAAATTTAGATTTGGAAGAGTAAAATGTGCACAGATTTAAGTGATATTCTTACTAATCACCGCATCTTAGTTTCCTCTAAATATACGAATAAAGAAACATGTTTAATTTGTAGAGGCTCACATGATGTCTTTACATCCTAAGATCCAAGTGAGATGCCTATCATGGGGACCATTCAAGAAAGACTCAATCGTACCATAATAAACACATTAAGTTTCAATAGTTTAAAAATAAATTAAAATATTATTAGGTTGTATCAAGAAAAGAAACTATTTTATTTTACTATTTTGGTTATCAATGATTGTTCCGGCTTCTTTTTTTTTTCTCATCTTCTCTCCTGTAGGAAAAATAAAAACTCCGAATTAAAAAGTATTTTTTGGTAGGAATTCTTTATTGAGATCGTTTATAGTAATGATATTGCTAATACTAAGTGAAAATGTATTTTAGTAAGTGATTTTGTGATGGTTGTAGTGGTGGTTTCATGACGTGGAAATGAACCTCTCTCTCTACAAATATAGGTTATATTATCAACAGAAAAACTTGTCTGTACCCGATGATGGGTCTTTCTATTTAGTTACTTACCAGGTACTACCAACTGCTTCCACATAGAGATGCTTTTTTTCAGAGGACTTGTCACACTAGTTGAGATGTATTTCTATTCTCACACTTTCTCCTCTTTTTCATTTATTTTTTCTTCAACTTTTTTCCTCTTTTTCATAAATCACTTACATGATGATCTTGAATTCATCCAATTTTCAAGATTTTTCGTTATCGACATGCCATAGTGGTGTAGTCACTTGGACTAGTTACAATTCTGCTTTTGCCTTCCACAAAAGGTCCATTGCAGGACCTCCCCAAAACCTAGTTCAGGTTGTCAAAATGACAAAATGCATTACCAATTTTTAGTTTACATCACATTCTAACAAAATATTTTAAACTCTTAGCTCAGTTTTTTAGTGGTAGGTTAGCTTATAAAAATAAAACAAAAAAGTGCACTCCATCTATTTGCAATTTCCCAAGAGCCAACGCACATTGGTATCGCAGAAAATATTAGCATAAATCCACGGTCTTAAAAGATGATAAAGAACATTCAACAAGTTACGTATTTTGTCTAATCTAAATTCCTTTTTCTTCATAAATTAAGTAAAATAGGTTAAAAACAAGTGGATATCTTTAAAAGAGAAAGTTAAAACAACCTGGAAGACTAAAGAACTCAATCAGATCCACTAAATAAGACAAACCAAAGAGATTGATCCCACCTAATTAACCCATTTTATCTCCTCTAGCATGATATTAACATTAAATTAAAATATATATGTTTTTTCAAAGACAAAAGTATAAATGCCATTACAACATTACTTTAGTGGTTGGATTGTAAAATTAAAATTAAAAAGTATATTCTCAAACTAAATTGACTCTGATTTCAAAAAATGAATTATGTAAATAATTAAAGAGCGGGTCTCTTAATATTTCAATTATGATAAATAATTTAAGAGCGCGCATGTCCATGCATAATCTTAAGGAACTAAATGCATTGTATCTTCATGTCAATATCAAAATCCGTTGGTAGGTAGAGGCAAACTGATAAAGTAAATTAAAAATAAAAAAGGCTTTTTTTTAATTTAATTATTTCAAAAATTTTATGTTATTTATTCTGCTAACATATTTTATTTTACATCGAAAAATACAGCATGAGAATTTAAACAGTGCTGCGAAGCAATTTGATTAAGAGAGATAGTGGGTTATAAAATCTGAATCTATTTTGTTTCTAGTGAAAGTATATTATTAGCATTTGTAAAGAAAATTGGAGAGTGTTAGTAGAGAAATTGTGAAAGTGATGGGGTGGTGTTGGTGCATGCATCGAAGTGAGTATGCGCGTGTGTGCGTGTGTCCGAGACTGGGAGCTTATATAAGATTCCAATGTTTGTTCCACCATTTCCCCAACAAGAAGCGGCCTTGGCTTTTCTTTTATCTCTTCTACCAACTTATTTCTCTCCCTCTTCTCTTCATCTCCTCATAACACCAACTTCTCTGCCCCTCTTCACAACACAAACCAAGTTTTCTTAATTATTATTATTATTAATTAATTAATATTGCAATGGCAATAGACTGCATTACAAGCATGCACCCCATCCCCACGATGCCTCAACCATCCAACCAAGAAACCAAAGAACAAGATCAACACACTCTTGTTTTTGATGCCTCAGTCCTCAGACACCAACTTCACATACCCTCTCAGTTCATTTGGCCTGATGAGGAGAAAGCATGTTTGGATGAGCCTGAGTTACCGGTTCCATTCATTGACTTGGGAGGCTTTCTCTCTGGTGACCCTCTTGCTGCACTAGAAGCCTCCAGGCTTGTTGGTCAGGCATGCCAAAAGCATGGTTTCTTTCTGGTTGTCAACCATGGGATTGACTACCACTTGATATCTGATGCTCACCTTTACATGGACCACTTCTTTGCCCTTCCCCTGTCTCACAAACAGAGGGCTCAGAGGATGCCAGGGGAGCACTGCGGCTATGCTAGTAGCTTCACTGGCAGGTTCTCTTCAAAGCTCCCTTGGAAAGAGACCCTTTCCTTTCAGTACACAGCAGACAATAACTCACCAACCCTTGTCAAGGACTACTTATGTGATAAAATGGGCAAAGACTTTGAGCAATTTGGGTAATCCAAATATGTGCCACCTTTTTTTTCCACTCTTCTTCATAAATAAATAATTAACTCTTGTTTCATTTTTTATTTTTTTTACACTAACCACTGTAAGATTTAAATTTGAGATCTAATGCAAAGTAATCAAACCCTCACCAATAAGTCAACCTGGTGGGCTATGTTTTGTTTGGTTTGACTCATGTTTTCTGCATATTTATACAGGAATGTTTACCAGGACTACTGTGAAGCCATGAGCAATCTTTCCTTAGGCATAATGGAGCTTCTAGGAATGAGCCTTGGAGTTGGTAGAGCCTATTTCAGGGAGTTCTTTGAAGAGAATAACTCAATAATGAGGCTGAATTACTACCCTCCATGTCAAAAACCAGACCTTACTTTAGGCACTGGACCTCATTGTGATCCAACACCTCTGACCATTCTTCACCAAGACCAAGTGGGAGGCCTGCAAGTTTGTGTTGACAATGAGTGGCATTCCATTAAACCTGATTTCAATGCTTTTGTTGTCAATGTTGGTGATACCTTCATGGTAATGTTACTATCATAATTCCCCTTGACTTTCATGCATTTGTCTTACCAAACCATGTTTTGATGTCAAACTTGTTTTTGGTTTTGGTTTCTGTATTAATTACAGGCTCTTTCAAATGGGAGATACAAGAGCTGCTTGCATAGGGCAGTGGTGAACAGCGAGACAACAAGAAAATCTCTTGCTTTCTTTTTGTGTCCGAGAAATGACAAGGTGGTGAGTCCACCATGTGAATTAGTGGACAATTTGAGGCCAAGGCTGTACCCAGATTTTACGTGGCCCATGCTCCTTGAGTTCACTCAAAAGCATTACAGGGCTGACATGAAAACCCTTGAGGCGTTTGCCAACTGGCTTCAAAGGAATTCAAGTAGCTGAAATTTCAAGAACCACATCGAGTCACACGTTGATGATTATCTGACGCACGGGAACAAAGCAAGGAAAATACATGATGATACTACCCTCCAGTGATGAACCAACATGGAAGATAAAATAGTTCAAAAGGAATCAATAAGCAAAATTCTTCTGGTAATTTTGTAATTTTCATTTCATGATATAGAAGAAGAGTTCTTCATGTAATGTGCATATGTGATTTGGTAATTGAAGCAACTTTTCTTAAGGGAAATGTAACCTTAAATTAAAATGAACGATCTTGTGCCCTATAACGACAATAATTGTCGGATCAAATTAGGGATAAATTAATTCAAATGGATTAAATTAAGTGAATTGCTACATAGCATTTTGTGATATATTATTTTTAATAATTTTTTTATTATTAACTAAATTTGTTGAATATTATAAAATTTATGGACCTTACTCTTAATTTAATGAGTTTCACTCATTAATCGTTGCATTAAAACCAAGGACATAATAAATCACTGCAGTTAAATTTTATATGGAAAGAAAATGGTAAGTTTCCACAAAGCTTGTAATATTTAGATAATCACACATTAATACTCTGTTTGATTTGAGAAAAAAATAGATATAATAGTTTTTTGTTACAGTAACACATTTTCTTAAAAAAGAAAACTCATACCTTTTTTCTAATTTTTCTTGTACACTACTTGTTTAATATGTTTTATTTGAGAAAATAGTATAATATTTAAAACTGTGTTTATTGTTTATTATCTAAACAACTATAAGAATATAATAGAAGTAGTGTGCGAACTAGTTTTGTTTTTATTTAAAAGTTTTTACAAAAATTAAAATTGTGAAAGTAAACATATACAGAGAATGTATAACAATATAATTTTTTCTCTCCTTGATTGTTAATAAGAAAGAAGTGATATAAAAATTTAATGAAAATAATATATATTTTATATATTGATTTAAATAGCGATCAATTTAACTGTATTTAAAGTAAAAAAAAAATGAATGGCTTAAAATACTTGTATATTAAATAGGAGAACGAAGAGCATGTCAACCATTGGTAAATTACATATTCTCTAACTCGATTATTAAGTCCAACTTAAAACTTTTTTAAAATTTTAATATTTGAAAATGACTCTAATAAAATAATATAAGACGAAAAAATATATTTTGAAATGATTTTTTTAATTCTTTTGAATATTTTATTTATAAACATTAATTATATATATAAGGAAAAAATAAATACAAATTTGATTAGATTAAATAAAATATTTAAAATTTTTTATTCTATCAATATAAAAAGTTTTATACCCACTGCCAATAGAATTTATGGACAATGGCAACATATTTATTATGCATGCAACTCCAATGCATTGTAAATAAAGTTAAACTCCGCTTAGAATGAGTACATTACATCTTATTTACAAGACTCAATTAACTAACGAATCCGAAATAAAAGTAATAATTAATTTATTCAATTCTATGATAATTATCTTTTACATTGAACGTTCTTTATTTTATTTTTTTCGTATGTTTTTTTAGTTTCAACTATTTTCATCATTCTCGTAATTAATATATTATTACTTAACTTTTTATCCATTATTATATGTCAGTAATTAAATTAATATTTTCAAATTACTTTATATATATATATATATATATATATATATATATATATATATATATAAGAGTCATAGCTATCAAAAAGTTAAAATTGAATTTAAAAATATTCATAACTATATTTTTACAATAATAATAATAATAATAATAATAATAATAATAATAATAATAATAATAATGCAAGAGACATTTTAAATTGGAACTTTTAAAGAAATTTTTTTAATTTAAGTCTTATATAGAAGGAAGAATGACAATTCCAATTTAACTCAAATAGTTTCAGTATTATTTTAATCACATAGATATTTATTATCCTTCCGTTAGACACATCATAGACTGAAATTTTTAAGAAGGACGATATATATTAAGTTAATTAAATTATTTTTAATAAATAAAAACAAATTAACGTTATTGTTAATTGTTTTAAATTAATAAGTTCTCCTTATGAATGGGAAACATCCAAAATTATTTTTCATTACTTTTTTTTTCTTTGTCTTTTTTTTGGTTTCCGTGACTTTCCTTAGAAACAAACCTAATGAAATCCACATTATATCTCTGTTACCCCTTCTGCCAAAAGTTAGCAAAATAAATCGAGGGTGGTGTTGGGGCTGGCTACACACATGTTAGGTACCACTGAATTTCATTAAAAACAGACAAAATAATAAATTTAGATTTAATTGGTTAAATTTCCCAATTTTTCAACTAATTTGACATGAACCACACACATAAGGAGAGAGATAAGATTAAAAAAGTGTTAATTGTACGATTCAAAATGGTCAATATTGTTTATTATTATTATTATTATTATTATTATTATTATTATTATTATTATTATTATTATTATTATTATTATTATGTGTATAGGATATCAGGGGAAATAAATGTCTGTATATCATACGCATAAAATGATTGAGACCAGATAAATATTTAATTTACGGGATCATGTTTAAGATTATTTTTTGAATGGTTGGGATGGGAGAATATTTTGAAAGTAATGTAAGAGTATGTATATGCTACCTCTTTGGTTGTTGTAAATAGTAAAATAAACCTATGCCAATCAGATTTTTTTGATAACTAAGAACTCACAATCTAATAAGATATTTATTACGAAGAAGTGATAAGCAAGAAGAAATGTTGGAAACTGAAACAATAGGAAGAGATCACCGTAAGCGTTGACCATGATGACTCAATTATTCTTATGAGGCAGATATCATTTCTTGCAGTAGCCGTCAACTGTTAATTTTTCTAGATGCAAAACCCTAGTGGTGAAAAACTATGAAAACCAGAAGATATAGATTCTGCAGAGTGAGAATAGTGGAACTTGGCCATTGGAGACATTAATTACAGCTGGGAGATCATCTTTATAAGTGATTAATCAGAAAATAATTAATATTGGAACGTAAATTGCTTTTTTGGTAATTAAAATATAAAAAAAGCTTATGCCAACCACATTTATTAATGTATACAATAAGTTCAGTAAAAAGTGGTTGCATTTCAAATAAAACCAGAGACGCTATTAAAATATTTTGTGTGGTTATTAATTGTATAATGAATAACACCAATCTGATAATCGAATCTCAAAACACTTATCTTTATCAACTCTATCTGTTGGCTATGATTCAACACATACAGCACTCCTGTAGGCTGTAGCTGCAGTTGTTGTTTGAAATATATGTTTTTGTCTTTTCTCATAATTTTCATTGTTACAAAAGACAAAAAAGCTCAATAATTTTTCCCTTGCTGCTAGAAAAATACACTAGTGAATATACAAATGGGACTGAGCCCCACCTCAATGATAATTAATTTATTGATTATGTCAATAATTATTTTATAATAAAAAAATTATTTATATTTTTTTCATCTATAAATTTCAAATCCCATTGCTTAAAAAATGTGAACTTAATTACATGCTAGTTATTGGACTTAATTATTTTCACAAACTTAAAAAAAGTAAACATTTTTGCTGAAAAAAGATAATCATATTTTAAAAACTCTTGAATGCTTACATGGTTTGCTCACTCTAGCTAAAACCAATTAGATGTCCCTTTGAGAAGCATTAGGGTCATGAAAAGACAAAAATGCATGATCAGATGGAGTTGGTGAACGGTGATACCTCGTGTTCTTTTCCTCACTAAAATAAAAATTTTTTAAGGCAAAATTTGTTCTCTTTTACTTCAAATTTCATCCCATAATTACGTGCCAGGATGTCCAACACACATTAACGGTTTAATCAAATGCATGAAATCTAAGCCTCGTCATTGTTTTAAACTTATGTGATCGATGAGATCGATAGTGAAATGTCTTGGTAATAGAAACGACAAGGTTTTGACATGTATTCTATACATTCATTTGAGTCCGCGTAAGAGCATGACTCATAATGGCTTTTTCTAGACTTCTTAATGTCATGCTTGATATAAGACTTTCATTCAAACATGAGATTTAGAGTTTTCCACGTAACTAAAGAAATAAAGACATTAAATACATCATTTGGGTGAGGTTGCACAATATATTATTATCCTTCATTTTTGTCTCATGTATGTTGCTTTGGTTTTTTTTCGACAGTTGAACATTTACTGTTAAAAAATAATGAAAATCTATCTCATGGTAAACGTGGAAGGTTTATAATAATATCAGATAAGATTGTATATGTTGAGTGATCGGACAATGGTTATATATATATATATATATATATATATATATATATATATATATATATTATTTTGATAATTAACATATACTTACATCCATCTATAATTTTTTTATCTCAGTTGTTTTTCTATTACAAGAAAAACTGAATTTTTACGGATAAAATTCGTCAATAACTAAAAAATCGGTCGATAAATAAATATTACCAATGAATTATCAATGATTAGAAATTCGTCAAAAAATATGTTGTCGGTAAAATTTATTGATGGATTTTTCTAGTCTCGTCAATAAATGTCATGGGTAATTACCAACAAATATTTCGTAGGTAAAGTCTAATTTATCGACGGATACATTTATCGGTAATTACCTATGAAGCACTCGACTCCGACACTGACAATCGAGACACGACACCGACACCGGACACGCGGACATGGCAAACTTCTAAAATATAGGACACCGGACACCTTATATATATTAGACATGAATAAAAATTTAAATATGATTCAAATGAGAAATATATAAATTAAAAATTAAGATTTGTTCATTCATCTTCTTAAGACAAAGTTGTTAGATTTTACAATTTTCATAATGATATCCTAACCAAAAAATACTAAAAACTACTATTTCACAATATAAAAACTTTGTCTTTTTACAAAAAGAAAGTCTCAAAATAAGAAGATGAATCAAATCTATTAAAGACAGTGGTCTTCATGATCATCATCATTGAAAAATACACTCTCTATGTT